AACCTCTGTCATGACCTTCGAGAACATGCTTAACAACCACATCAGGCTGGCCAAAAAGATCAGCCTGCGTTTGTGGACCAGTTCCAGATCTAGGAACAACGCTTCCACCTCCAGGCATTTGTTTTTTTCCTAGATAATCTTGCAATAGCCAATAAGATAAATTCAATACATTCATAGCACTCACTCAAACCCGAAATATCCCATATACGAACGGTTTGGTCAAGAGAGGCAGAAGCAACGAGATCATCAGTAGGATGGAATTGCGCGCACATAACATAATGATTATGACCTACAAATGAAAATTGTTAGGAAAAAGAAAATTAAAGTGAGACTTCAACGAAGGAATTCACAAGCAAACACCCACCAGTAAGAATTGCAATCGAATTTCGCGACTGCCAGTTCCAAATGCGGACAGTCTGATCATCCGATGATGAGATGATCCAAGGATATTTGCTATGGAAGAAGGTAGATCGGATGTAATCGAGATGACCAAGCAGAGTAAATATACAGCGGCGCTGCTTGTAATTCCACACCTAACAGCATGCGCATGAACATAACCATTAGAAAATGTTTGAGAAAATACCTTGATTTTATAGTCATCGCCTCCAGAAACGAAGATTGGTTGATCCATATGAAAGCAGATACCTCTCACGGGACCATCATGTTCGTCGAATTTATCAAGAAGAACACACATTCGGTAGTCCCATAACTGGATCACGCCGCTGTGTAGTGATGCAAGCACCCACGGTCTTGTAGGATGAAATGATATACCTAAACATTACTAGATATTCCTCAAGCTCTGCACCACAAATATTCTTTACTTGATTCTCTTTTCCCTTCATCCTTTCCCTTTCGCTCTTTCCTTTACAAAAATTACTTTATTAGAGTAGCTTCAGAGAAGGTAAAAAAAAAACTATTCATGGGAAACACTATAATGAGGTGGTCGTAATATCCATTTGATACAATTATGCGTTGAGTCGGTGACAACGGTTTGAACGTTTAAGGCCCTAAAGCCCCCTCCCCATATAAGTTTTATGATGATTCATGGAATAAGATGACTAATTTCGTCTGACATGTTGCAGAGTTAATGCAACACCAAAATACGATATACAGTTCAAAACATGAATAAGACGCTTTTGAAAAGAAGGGGAATGAAGTTTAGACTAAAAATATGAGTGAAAAGAACGCTACAGCTCTTGACTTATAAAAAAAACATTTTAGATCTACCTTTGACTCTAGCTGATTTGGATTCAAATTTAATAAGTAGCGACATCTTGCGCGGTGTCGCTCTCTGCTTGTTTCACCTGCAATACATACAATACTGAAAGAAATAGAAGCGTGATAACCAACACCACACGGAAATCTCCACAAAACACAAATCGGCGAAGTGCAGTACTTCTGTGTAAGAACTTATAAGCAACATAATATTTCCCCAAAACAACTTTGAAACACCAAAGAAACCCGAAAGGATATCGCTGCAAGGAACGGAAGGAGCAACGTTGGCAGTGCTTAGCTACAGTATGCCAATAACCTGCCGCCGTGTAACCACAAGTCGATTGGAGCGCGACTGGATTGAAGTGGTAGGGAGAGCGTGCTTTCGTTGGTGTTAGTCTTGGAGTTGCTACTATAGTTGAAACATTCGAAATTTTTTTCGAATGAACGAATATCGAATATTCGCTCTTGAAGAAAACATTCGAACGAATGAATAGTGTTCGAATACCCTATATGAGTTATATTCGAATCCGAATATTCGAAAATTGCAAGCTTCGAATATTCGACTACTCGAATTATTGAATAATTGGACATGACCGATTATTCGACTATTCGAACAATCGAACAACTGGCCATGGTCGAATATTCGACTTTTCGAATAATCGAATAATTGGATGCAGTAGAATATCCGATGTTTTGAATTCCGTAGGACCAAATTTTGAAGCACGTAATGATTCGATGTTCGTGAATCTTCCATTCCTCGTTAACTCAGATGTCGCAGCTACACTGTTTTCATGAGGCTCTCTCTACCGTGAAGATGTCATTTATTTCACAAAGAAGGATAAGAAACTGATTTATCTGCATCGAAGAAATTATCTTTCAGCA